AAAACAAGGTTTTGTTGATTTACCAGTAGTCATGAGGGCAGACTTAATAGCAGAAGGAGACCAATCTGGATGGTATGACTTTACATAAGCAGCTGCGCCGCCAACATGAGGGCATGCCATAGAAGTGCCAGACATGAGGGTGAATTCTGAATATTGAGTATCGCCTTTCAAACCAGTTAGTGATTTCAAGGGGGTGTAAGAAGACAGAATGTCAATTCCTGGAGCTGCAATATCAGGCTGTACAATGCTTGCATCAGAAAGCTATTTTGGAAATTAACACTAACAATGAACTCTGATTTCCATCTAAATTTACCTTCAGAAGGCGTTTTGTTCCCGGATTTGGACCTCTTGATGAAAATGATGCAATGAATGGAGCTTTGATCTTAACTTCCTGTGATTTGTATATTACTGCTGAAGGTAATCTGCAATTTTCAAAACCATCACACAGCTAAGTGGAGTATAAAAATCAGTAATTTCTGTTCTGAAATGGACTAAACAGGTTATAACATTGTTACCTCTCTAAATGCATATAGTTATTAATGCTTTTCCCTATGCTGGAATTAACTATTGTTGCAGGAGCCATGAAAATTGGGGCAGAATCAAGAAACTGATCGCTTTCAATAATAGTGCCGATCCCTCCAAGTTCTTTTATAACAGAATCAGCACCCCAAGTACCCAACTGGCAATAAACAAGCTTTCCCTTTACCTTTCTAGGGTCCATTGATCCTTCACCACAATACCTGTGACAGTGCCATATTTTATGCAAGGCTAGTATTACAAGAAAAAAATGTCTAATAACAACCTAATTAGTACCTTGAACTGTCTCGAGTATCAGAGCCCTTGGCCATATCAACTCCCATCGTAAGAGGATACAATTTTTTCTTTGGATCAAACGCGTTGACTCCAATTCCCTGCATAATGCTGCTATGAGTAAATGCTTCAATGAAAAGGGGATCAAATAGAACAGCTTTTGCCCTTTCGCGTATTTTGAGCTTTCGTTGCATCAATAAGAAAGACTTACTGAGACTATTCTCCCATTTCCCAACTCCACCTTACTCCTGAACTCCCTATCAATGCCACTAGCTGCTACAGTTAGCATCCATGGTGCATGGTTCGCGACAGTGTTGAGGTTAGGTCCATCATTTCCAGCAGAAGCCACAGTAAGAATCCCTTTTCTCATGGCATGAAATGACCCAACGGCTATCACATCAGTTGTATAACTGCCACTGAGACCACCAATTGATATGGATATTAAGTCCACACCATCACTAATTGCAGCTTCAAATGCAGCTAGAATGTCAATATCTGCACAACCTGAGGTCGCCCAACAGACTTTGTACATAGCCACTCTAGCAGAAGGAACCGCTCCACGTGCAGTCCCTCGGGCAAGACCAAACAAGCTAGCATCAGGCACCAGACTTCCCGCTAGGGTGGATGATGTATGTGTTCCATGGCCGTGCACATCAATTGGTGACAATATGTCATTTGGATCAGGAACTTTGTCCAGCTTGAAGTATCTTGCCCCTATAAGTTTGCTTGATAATCACAAATAAAGGCATGCATAATAATTAGAAATGAGAATAACTCAATGGCAGAAGCGTATGTTTTCAACCCTAGTAAAACAGCTTAATATGTTCGATATTGGAGGAACAAATGCAGGGACTAGTGTATCATGTGGACAGCACACAATATGGCTCCTTATTTTCAAACAATAAGTTATTAACTTTAAAATTCTGACATACTTTTGTGCAAACTTTAGTAATTATTATTCTATTTGAGCTGCGGCTGGTTGGTTGTGTACATGACTCAGAACTACCTATTATTTATGTTCATTGATTTGTCTTTTCGTGACATTACATGCACTTAATTATGCTTGTGGATAAATAATAGACTCCAATATGGATGTCATGTCACTGATGTACAATACAAAAGTACTAATGACAAGGGAATAATTTACTTGTTGCATCCAGAAAAATTTGCAAAATGGCCACAACTTCCTTTCCATTTTACTGGAGGAGGACCAAGACCATCATCCTTAAAGCTTTTTGATTGAGGAGTTATGCCTGTCAAAGTATTTTCAAGAAATTTGATTTCAGCCTTCTGTTTTGTTGTCAAAAATGAAAAACCTGAGTAGTATCTGACCGATACTTAACCTGTATCGAAGACACCCACGATAATGTTGCTCTCCCCTTTCAATCTTCTTTTTGCAGTTGCAGGCAAACCAATAAATTCCCATGATCTTGTAGTATGTAGCTTCCTGTATCTGTTTGGTATGACAGAAACCACTTCATCCATGCCTGGAGAGAAGAACTCAATTATTAGTATCAAACAAATGCCAAAGACTAAAGTTATAGCAGAGGGATCCTACTTACTAGATAACTTGTGAACTTCATGTTGAGATAGCTTTGCTGCAAATGCATTGAAGATTTTTGTATAGCTATAAACATGAGATTCTGTTGCATCCCCATCACTGTTATAAATTACAACATATATAATTAAGAAAGTCAAGAAACTTCCTTGCTGAAACAGCATTACTCTAATTGGATAAAATTAAATGAGAATGAGAAGGATTTAACCAACCTTTCCTTCAATGATGATAGGACATTAATATGTCTCTGAAATACAGATTCTTCGTTCACCGGATGATCTTTCAAGAAAACAATGTAGACATCCTGCAATGAACATGATCATATCAATATAATGCAGCACAAGCAAAAAAATGATTGTGAAAATACATAGTATAAAAAGTTACTGCTTCTTTTCTATCTCCTTCAGCAGCTTCAATGCCAGTCAAGATCAAGATTAGAAAAAGATGATAAGACAGAAACCAACAGAAGTGATTGTTCCTCATCATTGTCTTTGTGTCAACAATGTTATTGGAAGATTAGGTGACATGCAAAAGTAGAAAGAAACTCCAGGATCATACAAAGAATTAGGTACAATGGTATTAGCAATTAATGAGAAGAAGGATGATCTGATGGATACTTTAACTTAACTTCATGTTGAGGATTTTGATTGGTTGTCTTAGAAGAAAGATGGATAAAGACTGGTAGATTATTATGTGCAACTTTTTGAGAAAGAAAGGTAATATTTTGTTCTTACTTTTTTATTTCCTTTTTTTCTTTCTAGTTACTGATTCTATTTGTTAGTTACTTTGTAAAAGAACTTAGTAAAGCTGAGTGCAGTTAGAGATACATTATGCCTAACATCTGCATGCAGCATGCCACCATATGAGCACCTCTATATCATAGTCGAATATAGAGGGGTTCTATGGGTTCAATTGAACCAGGACTCAAACATTCGATCTATACTCACTGACTCTAGATCTTGAATTTGTCTCCGTATATAATATAAGCTCAATGATTAATGGAAGCAACAGCAATGCTAGTAAATTAAACACACTTATAGTATAAATCAACTGGTCAGAGTAGTTAGAATAGCACTAAGTTATCATATTGTTCCTTTTTTGGGGGGGGGAGGGGAGGGGGTAGGTTGGCATTTCAGAAGGTTAGTCAGAAATTTTTTAATTAATTGAAAATTTAAATCTCGAAGCAATTCTATAGAAGAATATTATGTATGAGAGAGAATATATTGTATTGCATGGAAAGATGTGGCTGATACCCAAAAAGCCATTACATCAGGAAGCCCCTTGCTTGGATTTAAATGCAAGTCTTTTACTTTGTTTCCATTAGTAGCAAAGTTAAAAAATTAAAGTTTATATATTTTCATTTAACTTCTAAATTTCATTGTGGTAATATCACATTAGGCCACCAACAAGGATTGTGGGGCGTTAAGTACTCATTTATCCTTAATTAGAGGTCTCAGGTTCGAACCATAAGTATAGAATCGTCTTTGTTAGGGAGCGTTTTACTCCAATATGGGACTCTCCAATGCGGGTACCCGAGTGAAAAACCAAAAAAAAAAAAAAGAAGAGAGAAATCCCATTAGGCCATTATCCAAGGGCAGCGTCTTTGACAGTTGCATTTACATATAAAAAAATGTTTAAAAGTAATTTAGTTATATGATCAACATTATGCAGTTAAACATATTGAATTCAAAGTCATAAATGTCTAATATCTATCACGCGTAAATTTTATTTTCAAAAGATTGATTAATCCTCATCTGACCAGTTCGAAGTTTTTTCATTTCCAAAAAAAATAGCCTTGAGAATTACGGTTTTGTAAACAAAAAGTTCGGAAGAATTTTTGGCTTTTGCATTCAAGTAAAGGACTACTCACTACTTCCCTTAACTTTACACCCTTTTTTAACTTTTCCTTGAAGCAATATTACCCACTATCTCCTAATCAAATCTAGTAATCAGGTTAGCTGACAAGTAATTTTGAAAAGACAAATATATTGATATTAATATCTAGGTCTCAATCTCAAATTGGTTGTGGTCAATTTATTATATGTGAATAATATTACTATCATAAGCTGTCTGACTAGAAATTTAACTTTGCCTATGTAAGTTTTTCAAAGCATATCCAGTCCCAAACAGCACAAACCTCACAAATGTGTTTCATCCTTTTAGCTATCATATCATTGACTGGCAAAATATTCAAGACACGTTTTCTCACAAAGTGCTTAAGCTTATTTTTAATCCCCAGAGTCCACATAAAATCCCAAACGCTATAGGAAAAGAGTGGCAATTAGATTGAGCATTATTGACTCTTTTGTTGTTATCTATTAGCAGTGCCTCTGTGAGATGATATCCGGATTTAACCTCGTATAACTTTGATTTTGTATAATATCAAATTAGTCTATTAATCATACCAATTGTTAAAATAAGAATGGACGAAATGGTATTTAACGTTATCTGCATAAATTTTTATCGATCTTTTTATCAATGAGCTGAGTTATCATTAAACTTATATTTAATATTTAACGGTGGTAATAAGATTCGAACCGGACGGAACCCATTTGAATTAGCAATCCAAGAATCTTTCCACACATTTACTCTAGTCCCATTGGAGACCCTCCATCTTATCCCTTCTTTATCTTGACTTGGATCAAAAGCGTCAAACTTTACAAACATAAAGGACTTTTGTGTTAGCAATAATGTTTAAGGGACCAAAATTGAACTTGATCTTACACACAATTAAGGGACCGTTTTGATTTTTACCGCTCAAATCTCCTGAACTATATTAGCAGGGGAATTGACCCGAATGCATCTGCCCCGGCACAATGCTCCGTTTCTTCTCCCGCCAGGAAAAGCAAATTCTCTCACTCTCCGTCACGCGCCACCTCTTCTCCGCCGCCGCCGCCGCCGCCGCCGTCCCGACAACCATCACCGCTTCTTCAAATCTCTATTCAAAATACTCCTTCGTACCTCCACCTTCCTTTAAACCCCAAAACCCTAATTCCACTCAACCCCACTCTCAATCACCTCCCAAAAAGCAGCCCAAACCCAGGTACCGTCCGCCGTCATCACTGGACCGGACCGGCGAGAAACCGGTTCAATCCAGTTTGCCATTCGACTTCCGTTTCAGTTACACAGAGAGCAGTACGGAGGTGCGGCCGATTGGGCTTCGCGAGCCTAAGTACTCGCCTTTTGGGCCTGGAAAGTTGGATAGGGTGTGGACTGGAGTTTGTGCGCCTGTGGTTGACCCAAAAGTGGGGTCTGCTGAAGATGAGAAAACTGTGGAGGAGAAGAGGAGGGTTATGAGAGAGAGAATTCAAGGAGAGCCTTTGACGAATGCTGAGAGAAAAGCTCTTGCGGAAACATGCCAGAGGCATAAATCCAAGCGCCAAGTCAATTTGGGTACACTTTTTTTTATATAAAATTCATTTCTTTTGTGATTCGACAGAACGATCTAGAAGATTCATATAGGTGACCCGAATGCATAGTTGATTGATTGATTGATAATCATTTATTTTTTGACTAGACAAATTATATAATACCTGCATTGGAACGAAATGGGTCTAACGTAGTTGAATGGCTATAGAGAATTCATATAGCTGACTAGAACCAATTTGGTATTGAAGCATAATATTGATTGGGTTGATCATTTCTTTTGTGATTAGACTCAAAGGTAAGGTACTATGTTGGATGAGGTGAGTTTTGATTTATTTTCTTTTACTGTTATTGTGTAAAAGTATCTGATTATTTGCAAAATTATTTAAGTGGAGTTGAGAAGGTAAATATAGGTACTTTACCTTGGCACTTACTTGCTATGCCACGGGATAGATGTCAAAGACCATTATGGTCTTGGTTTACATCATTGCATATTCTAATTGCATTAAATGGAAGTGGTGAAATTCTGCACACAGATTGGGGTGGTTTGCTGACTTAAAGGTGGTACTCAGCTGGGTTTGGTATTAACTTCTTATTGCAGTGGCATGGTTGCGCGTGTACGGCTTGAAAATTAGTATCATTTCGTAATGTCGTTGGGAAATTTGACAATTTAAACTGCATTAAACTTGTTTGCCAAGCATACATGGTTAGATTATTCAAAGAAATCAATGTTGATGTTACCTTCTTTTTTAAAAAAAAAAAAAAATCAATGTTGATATTCTGATGGCTTTGGTATTGCTGCCATCTAGATGCATATAGAAATGCTTTACATAGAAATCAACTCACCGTGTATCTTGAAGAAAGGGAGTTGAGAATAGGATGAATCAAATGTGTTATTAGGGCTAAATTTTAATCCTATATGGTTGGAGATTTTTAAATAATAATCACTAAAGTATTTTCTGAGTAATGGCTTTTAGGAAAAACTCACAGAGGCTCTGAAAAGTGGTGCATTGCCTAACATTTGGAGGCACTATGCATATTCTTATCAGTAACTCAGTCGTCGTAAGCTCTTGTAAAAACTGCTTGCTACACATAACATCTTGGTGTTCTTTTATAATGCAAACCACGCTTGACTTCTGCTATTTGCATTTATATTTTCTGTCATACACTGGGAAATTTTGTGATGTGATGTGCTCCATTTGGCATTAGGATCTTACCTTGTAATGACAATGACATCAAACGCTTCTTTCCTTCTCTACTTTATTGAGAAATGAAGTTGAATATCACTGGACGTAAGTTTCTATAGTGGGATTATGATAGCACATGATTGGAATACCTGTTTGCTGATTTTCCATCTTTGTTCTGCAGGGAGAGATGGCTTAACACATAACATGTTGAATGATATTCATAACAACTGGAAACATGCTGAAGCTGTAAGAATAAAATGTATGGGCGTGCCTACAGTTGATATGAAGAATGTTTGCACTCAGTTGGAGGTATCTCCATCCTTCAAATTCAATGACATCCACTTTCTTTGCTTCTTAATCCCTTCATGTTATTGTTCTTCTTCGGAATTAAGTTGCTTGAACAGGTATCTGTTTACTTTGTTTATGGTGTTTATTCTCTAAAACTATGGTTATATCAACTTAGAATCTTCTTTTTATGTTGTACTGTGTCTTTGATTAGTAATGTGGATTCTTGTATGTCTTCTAGGATAAGACACTTGGTAAAATCATCCACAGACATGGTGGTTTACTTGTGCTCTATAGAGGAAGGAATTATCATCCCAAGAAGAGGCCTGTTATCCCCTTAATGCTATGGAAACCTCATGAGCCTGTATATCCTAGGCTTATAAAAACTACTATTGATGACTTGAGTATCGAGGAAACCAAGGAAATGAGAAAAAGAGGATTAGCTGTTCCGGCATTAACAAAACTTGGTATGCTTTCTTGTCAACTGTGTTTGATAAGGCCATCTGGATTTGGTATGTGAAATGTATGCTACTATGCAGCCAAAAATGGTTACTATGGCAGTCTTGTACCGATGGTACGTGATGCTTTTCTCACTGAGGAGCTGGTTCGGATAGATTGTAAAGGCCTCCCAAAGAGCGATTACAAGAAAATAGGCTGCAAACTGAGGGTAAGAATTTTCCCCTTCTATTTTATGTTGGACTTGTACTTGTTCATGCTATAGTTTTTCTTTTATCTTTCTTGTGGAGTACTATGATTTACGAGAAGAGGTGCAGCTTCTGTTATTCTTATAAATACAACAAGTTATTTTCAATGATAATTTATTTGTTGAAATCTGGACTCCCTGGTTTGCCAAAAAGGTGCTCCAAACCTTATTGACCCAATTGTTTAATAGAGGATGGCCTGAGGTTTGGGTTTTATGTGGCGGGGTATGGGGCTTATTTATCGTTGCAGGAAGAGAAAACCCGGGTTAGTATCCATTGGGGTTCGACTGCTGAGATTTGAATTTTAAATCTCCACCCAGAGATAGTCTGAACATGCGGGTCTCTTTCATTGGCAAGTCATGAAAAGAGGTCTTCCCCGTGCTTCTTGGGTCAACCAGAGGTATTTGATTTATTGTATCTTTCCCAGTGACATTGCTGGCTGCTGCAATAGGCAAAGCTGACCTAGAAGGAATTTGTGAGCATATGGGGCATGATTCCGCCCAAACAGGGATGGCCCATACAGTGTTTTGAAAAGCGAGCGCTTCGTCGCTTTAAGCGAGAAGCGAGGCGCGAAGCGAGAAGCCGTCGCTTTTTCCTAACTGAGGCGACCAGACCATCAGAAGCGATTGCTTCAGCCAAGAAAGCGCGAAGCGACCCAGAAGCGAGAAGCGTATAAGCGCTCGCTTCTGATCAGAGGGGTCATTTTATAAAAAAAAAAGTTTGGGTCTTTGTTTTTATTATACAAAACAGACCCAAAGTGTAAAGACCATTCTTTCTCCTTCCCAACGTTAGCAGCAACAGCCAGCTAGGNTCAATGAAGCGTGCGCTTCGCTTTTGAAGCGAGGCGAGCCCCTGTCGCTTTTTTGCGCTTCTCGTTCTCAAAAACACTGGGCCCATATAGATCCCCCGATTTCGATATCGACAAATTTGAGGATTTTATGAGGGGAGATTCAACTTGGATCCTGGCCCATGCAACAAAGCTTCAGTCACTGTTTGCAGTGGTCAATGGCTGTGAGTCCCCCCAAGAAATTTCTGGACCAGATATGAAGAGGACCCCCGATTTCGATATCGACAAATTTGAGGATTTTATGAGGGGAGATTCAACTTGGATCCTGGCCCATGTAACAAAGCTTCAGTCACTGTTTGCAGTGGTCAATGGCTGTGAGTCCACCCCAAGAAATTTCTGGACCAGATATGAAGAGGAACACCACTGAGTCTGATCCAAGTGTTGTTGTTTTCTGTCCAATTCTACGGTGATTTTCCAATTTCATCTAAAGAGGGTGGGGCTGTTATAGGGAAACTCCCAACTAAACATCTTGAGATACAGTTGTCTGGACTTAGTAGACCTTCTATGTTAAAGCCTATTGTGAGTGAAGCTCCAAACTTAAGGGATTACCTTTGGCATTTTTCCTCGGAAGGATATGGGTTCCTTTGGGATGGACTAAATTTTCACTACTTTTAAGAACTTGGAGGACTATCAGTGGTTATCTTGTATATTATGAACCATTTTGATTGAACCCAAACTTAAGGGACTATTTTGGGATTTTTCTTGAGAAAAAGCCTGTCAAGGAAAAAACTCTTGTACTCTTCCTCTTTTAATCACTCATAATGATAAGATGGGCTGAAAAGCGGCAATCATAAACTATTTTGGACTATGAATACCTACCAAGTATCCAGTACGATACACGGAAATTACGCCTGGTCAGCGGTATGGTATCAAAAATCTTTTTAATTTTCAGGGTACAAATATCCTTATTTTGAGATACAATTACGGAATTACCCAAAATCAGGTACTTTGAGCCAAATTCGATATGTTTGGGGCCAGTGAATTCTCTGAGAGACGATATTGGGTCTCTTTTGTAACGGATAAAACCTAATTATTTGTATTTGAAGATGTATATATGTTCCTGGCTGATGTTTTCAGATAATATCTGGTAATTTATAAGAATGATGTCGGATAACTTCAATCCATAGTTTATAATGTTAAAATTTGTAGACTTGATGAAATGTGTGTTCTTACTTCTTACTTTACTTTCAATAGTTATTAATGCTGCTTATAATATTCTTTAGATTTTAAATATATAAAGAAAAATTATAAAGAATGTTTATATAATGCTGTATACTTTTAACTCTGACTTGTGTTATTAGTGAATTGTTTTTTGCTTGTCAGAAAGAGATGTATGCATTATAGTACTCAAGTTTTTGGGACCGAACAATTGCAGTGGCTATGTCCAAAGCATGAGGGATCTGGTCAAATTGAGAACTTGCTATGGAGACAGGTTCTTGATCCGTGGACCGAATGTCCACCTGGCTAATCCGTCTTGAGTCCAGGAACCACAGCCATATTTTCTTGAATCAACAAATAAATTGGTTGATAAATTCTTTTCCAATAATGAAATAAATAAATCAAGAATTAATAAGAAATATTCACTTTATTTCAACTATAGAATAGTCACATTTATTGTATGCTGGTAAAAAAAGAAGTTTCATATTTTGCTGGCGGACTCAAGCTGGTAACAATACTCATTTTGTACCTGTGCTATGTCTCTATTAATGTCTCTTCTGTATCTTTTCATTTTTTCCCCTCAACGAACAATTGATCTTTGCCCTTATTTAGTCATCTTCATCGTTGACCAGTGGTGGTTGCTCTAGTGGTGAGAGTTCTTTAGGAGTCTGAATCACCAAGGAAGAAAGTGGTGAAAACCACTCTTGGCCCCTGGGGATAGGGATTTAGAGGGGTGAATTTACCAAATCAGAAAGACGGATGAAACAATCATGGTCATCACTCATCTTCTACTTGTTTACTTTTAGAGCTCTTTGCCTTCATGACATGTAGTGGTGTGTTAATATTCCTGGAACTGCAGTTAATTGCATATTAGTTTGGTTGTCTACCTCCTTCAGTTTACTTGCTTTGCTACTTGAAATGAAGACCTCAACTTAGAAGGGCCAGATATTTGGAAGAATGCTGTGATATCCATTTGGAAAGTATAGTGATTGGCATGCTTCTAAGACCAAATTTTAATTGATGTTCAAAGAATGTTCTGATATCCATGTGGACGATATAGTGATAGGCTTGCTACTAAGACTATGTTTGAGTGGATTACGTTATGTCATGGCAGGATTTGGTCCCTTGTATACTCGTAACGTTCGATAAAGAGCAGATCGTGGTATGGAGGGGTAAAAACTACAAACCTTCTGAGAATGGGTTCTTCCTTACAGAAAGAGAACCATTTGATGACTCCAATAATGACTCCGATAATCGTGAGGAAGAAAACGAAAGCAGAAAAGGAATTCCTGGTGACAGTGATTATGATTCTGGCGAGAGTGATTAGATCTTCCATTGATAAATTAGCTAAATGTTGTTGGCTTCAAGCAGTTATATTTACTGCAAGTCAAGCCGAAGGAAGTAACAATATACAATACAACGACCAAATGCAAGGTAATGGTTTATATGTACTTTTTAAAATAAGGAATGGTTGGATATATGTCCATCTTTATATTCTTGTCTAAAGATGTATCTGACTAGACGTTTTGGTATTATTTACAGAGAACACTTGCAGATCTTAGGGAAGAATCAAGATATCCATGATTAAAAGAAATTCACTGCGCTGTCATTCATTGTATATAGATAACCTGTTCTTTTTGCTAGGTGAGAGTCTCATGTGTGGCAACACATCTCAAGTGTTGGCCCTTCTAATACTTGGAAAATTACTAGCCCCTGCATCCCTCAAAAGGTAGGGATTGGCAACTTGGCATAGATTTAGATATATTGACTCGCACATGGTTTTGCCAGGAGTTCATAATGTCACACTTGCTTGCTACTTTATGATGATTATTTAAGTCCCAATCTCCTGCAAACTTAGGTGGAAGTTTTTCCTGCTGTATTATACTAACCTGACAAATGTTCGTGGTGGATCTCAATGCAATCAGATCCCAAAATCACTAGCTTATTTGCACGCATCCCGATGTTCCTGTATGTTCCCCACATGTTTCAGGAATAAAGTTTGATTGGATCTATTGTTTACGTCAAACTATATTAACTTATTATGTTAATGTGATTAAAGAATGTGAGAATATAGTGGATCAACTATAGTCAAAGTGATAAATTCTACTCTGCAATCATATGTCATGGTTATGCGTGAATACTGTGGAAAATTTCCCGTCTACCACCTACCGTAATTTCCCGAGGAAACCTTGTTCTTGCTCTTTTGGCTAAAAATTTCATTCACCGCCCTTTTTATCTGAAAGTTGTTAACCAAGATTCAGTGTGGAAATTTCACTCCTTTTACAAATAAATTTGTCTGGTTTTGAATAATTCAAGTAAATCAATTGCTTAACGTGTGGGGCGTGAAAAACGGTAACGCCCAAGGGGTCAACAGATTATGTGAGCTGGTAGGTTAACGTTGACATGTATGTTGATAGGGGTAGGACTATGAACTTCTGATTAACGTTTGAGGGTGCCACGCGTACAAAAATTGTACAGTATCTTCAATTATTATGTCGTATATACTCTCTACCATAAATGAACTTTAGTTGAACACGATGACTAGCCTTTATCTAGCACCATGACCTTATACTTATTTTTGGTCACTGTTGTGTCATTTCATCTTTTTATGATAGGCTCTACTAGATAGCGATTTGGAATTTGAATTTAAATTGAATAGGTTCAATATTATGATTTTTCTAAGATATATGTGTATAATCTAATGTTAATGTAATATCATAGTGATCAAATTATTGAAAACAACTAAAGATATCCGTGGCATTTCAAACAATAGAAGCATTTTAACATTTTTTTTAAATCAACATTTATCAAATTATTAAATTTGGCACTTGGAACCAAGCTGATTAGTCGAAACTATCAACTTTTACATGTAAACAGTAAGTTATTAGAGAGTTGATTGTATGCTAATCATGTTTTTCTAACGCATGTAATTTTTCTATGATAATAATTACTCTTGGAGGGTGTTTATTTTAAGTAACAAAATATTTCTTTTTGTACGACATATTTTCTTGGTCCATGTAGTTTAATTACTAAGTGCTATTATATAAAAGGATGTTCAAACGTTATAACATTAGTATCAATTTAATTACAACCGATGAAGGAGGTACACTGTAAGTCCCTTCAAAAAAACAAATCAACAAACACGTCACGGCGCATGTGATTATGTTTTTAAAATAGGACGGCTTTTAGTACACTTTCCTCTAAATTGAAAAGCGTGTGCTGAATATTCACCAGATTGGATCCAACATAATATATTAATTTTTTAAGGTTCAAGATCTTGCATGAGATTCTTGACAATCAACAAGGCCAAAGCTCATTATTATTTTTACCCATTACTAAGCTCTCAAAAATGTACTTTAGGTTGATTTAGTTTAATATTCAATTGAAAAAACACCAATAAGACACACACAGAGGAACCATCTAAGCTAGAATGTGTCTATGTATGTGTATTTTCTGAAGTATAATTAGAGTAGTCTATTAAGATTTCTCACCTCGTTTATTATAAATTTTCGAGTTTTGGTTGTTATTAAAAAATGTTGTCTAAATTGTGATCTAAAGTTCATTTAAAGAAAAATAATGAATTATCTTAGAATTTTATTATATGCTTTGATTACCTTTAAACTTTATTTTTACTTCAACAAAATATTTGGTTTGTTCTAATTTCTATAGGTAAGTCTCTAACATGTGTTTTAGAAAATGGAGAAAGAAGTCATTATACAAAGGTTGGTGATCTAGAAGATAAAAATTTGCTAACTATTAAGAATTTAAAAACACTTTAATAAAAATGAAGTTTATAGTGCTATATATGGGTGTACATGGACCGAGTTGGTTCGGTTTTATGAAAACCAAATCAAACCAACTATATCGGTTTGGATTGGTTCGGTTTTGTCGAGTTTTTCGGGTTTTCGGCTTTTTTGTTACTTAAATACTATTTCAATCTTACTTTGTTAAATATTTGATAAATAAATATATATTTAATATAAATATAAAAAATTGACAAACATGTTATCGATTAAAATATTCTTATGGGAGAATTCTATTAGTAACACATAATAGTTAGTATTTTTTTAGTCGTCTGACAATAATTTTTCGTTGATGTACACTTTCAGGTTAACAATTTTTTCGTTGATGTACACTTTTAGGTTAACCGAATCTAGTAATTAAACATAAAAATCAATATGATACCTAAATATTAATAATCACTTCAAATTCGAAAAAGATATAAGATTTTAATAGATCTCAACATATAATATGAATATGGAATAACAAAGAGATAAATGCATTTCACTAACACTTGATAAGAAAGTGATCATACAACCCATTATTTAAGGTCAATAAATATGGAGCACTTCATATTCTATTAAAATTTATATCCCGCAAGAGAATCACAAATATTTCTAGATATTTTTAAAAAAAAATTCTATATAAAATCTTAAAAGTATATATAAAAATTATATATTTATATGTCGGGTTAGTTCGAGTTTTTTTTACTCCATACCAAACTAAATCAAACCAAATCAAGTCGGATTTTTTTAATCGGTTTGGTTTGCCTTTTCGGTTTGATGCGATTTTTCGATTCGATTTGTACAACCCTAATGCTATATGCAACTTTTCCTAAGTACATTGCTATTAGGAAGGAACCAAATATGTGATATAAGAAATTAAAAGGAAACTTCATATGAAGCTGTCTTATATTGCCTAGGCACGAGACAGCTGCATTGAATTGACAACTTTTCATATTCTAATATTCTTAATTAAGTCTTAGAAGAAACCTACATTCCGTAATTTTTTGTTCGATTTGTTCGTGTTCTGTCACGACCCAAAATTCAAAAAAAAAATTGTGATGGCGCCGGACATCACTGTCAGGCAAGCCAATCATAACCAATTAACTTAATTACCCATTTTTGTATTTTTGAAATAAAAATTTCTTTAATAAAATTGTAAAGATAAAACTCATAGAGTAAATGATAAATATTTTTGCAGCTAAATTTCTAAACAATTCACAACCATTTTTAAAATCCGGTGTCACAAGTGCATGAACATTTACTAGGGAATTAAAATAAAATACAGCATATGTCCAGAATACAAATTAGACAGGAAAATATAATAACTCTAAAGGAGATTCTGTTAGCTGCGGATCGTAATATAGAATGCAGCTCACTTATGTCCCCACAATTATTAACCACACCTCTGCGTCCACAAGGCCGCTATACATATATGTACCTGCACAATAAAATGTACAGCAAGTGCAGTATGAGTACAAAAACAACGTGTACCCAGTAAGTATCAAGCCTAATCTCGAAGAGGTAGAGACGAGATGGCCGACTATGACACTCACTATGGGTCAATAATATTAAATAATCATGAAAATAGAAATATTTATATCAACGTGATTCACATAATTAACAATAATGTATTGAACCAGAAGAAGTAATTAAATTCCTACAATTCCAATAATTCTCAATATATTAATTAAATTCCTTCAATTCAAATAATTTCTAATCTATTAATTAAATCCTTCAATTTCAATAAAAATTCTAGTTTATCAAATAGCTTTACAAGCTGTAATAAACTGTCCAAGTATCGTGTAATTATTATTATTATTAAGCACGATTTCTATTGAGGTCGTACGGCCCGATCCAGAGTTTCGTGTACACTGCCGAGGGACGTGCGGCACGATCCATACATGCATCTACCGTGCCGAGGCGTTCGGCCCACTCCACAAGAAAGGAGGACATTTTCTTATGTGCCTCCGGAAGGAGAGTATATTTATTATAAGATGTATTCGGGAGGAAGAATAATTTTTTTTTAACAATTAATTAATTAAAACAGAAAATCAAGCATATAAGGTTTCCATCCTTTGATATCTTTATATGAAAATTTACAATA